GGGGGGGGTATGTTGAACCATCCTTGCATTCCAGGAGTAAATCCCACTTATCAATCCATTTACCCTTTGTGTGTGTGTGTGTGTGTGTGTGTGTGTGTGTGTGTATCCATTTAAAGAAGATATCTTGCAGGCAATATAAAGGTGGGTGTTGCTTTAATCAACTCTAATGATCTGTCTTTTAATTACTGCATTTAGACTATTGTTTAAAGTAACATTTTTTTTTCATACCAGAGATCGAACTCAGGTCCTTGTGCTTGCGAGGCAGACAGCAGAACCACTGAACTAAATCCCTGGCCCTAAAGTAACAATTGATAGATTCATATCTACCATGTTTGTTACTGTTTTCTATTTACTCCTGTTCTTCATTCCTATTTTGACTGTTTACTCTTTCTCTTCCATGTGGTTTTATTGAGCATGTTTTATGATTCAACTTCCTCTCTGAGAAACTCTATATTTCTCCTCACATTTGAAGGATAATTTCACAAGGTGCAGAATTTTAAGTTGGTGGTTTTTTCCCTAAACACTTTAAATATTTCCCTCCACTCCTCTTGTTTGCATGGTTTCTGAGAAGTCCAATGTAACTCTTTTTGCTCTTCCAGAGGTAAGGTGTATTTTTCCTCTGGATTCTGTCAAGATTCATCTTTATCTTTGATTTTCTATTGTTTGAAAATGATATCCCTAGGTGTAAATTTAGGAATATTTATCCTACTTGGTGTTTTCTGGGTTGCTGTCCAACCTCAATCTGTGGCTTGGTGTCCACACTAAATTTGAGGAAATGCTCAGTAATTATTTCTAATATTTTTTCTGTTCATGTGTGTCTTCTAATATTTCCAATTCATATGTGTCACCACTTTTGTACTTCTCTCCGGTTCTTGAATATTAAATTCTTTTTCTTTTAGTCTTTTATCTTTGCTTCTCAGTTTTGGAGGTTTCTACTGAAATTTTCTGAAGCTCAGAGATTCTTTCCTCAGCTGTGTTGATTCTGCTACTAAGCTCATCAAAACCATTCTTTATTTCTGTTACAATGCTTTTGATCTCTAGCATTTCTTTTTGTTTCTTTCTCTTAGCATTTCCATCTATTTGCTTACATAACTATCTGTATTTGTAGGATGTCTACTTTACCAATTAGAGCCTTTGGCATATTAACCACAGTTGTTTTGAATTCCCAGACTGGTAATGTCAACACCCTTGCCATATCTGTGTCTTGTTCTAATATTTGCTTGGTCTCTTCACACTGGTTTTGTTGTTGTTGTTGTTGCTTTTGTTGTGTTTTTATTTTGTTTTGGTTTTGGTTTTGCCATTTAGTATGCCCTGTAATGTTTTTCTTAATAACCAGACATGGTGTCTGGTTAAGTAAAAGGAACTGCCCTAGACAGGCCTTTAGAGATTTGGCAGTAAAGGTGTAGGGGAAGGGGAAATGTTCTACAGCCCTATGATTAGGAGTCAGTCATCTAGTGAGCTTGTGCCTCTGGACTGTGAACTTCACAAGTATTTGTCACTGTCTCCACCCCTGGTAGGTGGCTGGAGTTGATTGGAGCTGGGTACCTCCCTTCCTTTGAGTCAGTCAGTTAGGCACTAACAAAACCCCAACAGGATAGGATCTGGCTAACTAGTTTCACCTGATGGCAGACCTTGTTAAGAATATAAATCCCTGACATATTTTGAGATAGTTCCTACTGCTGCCTAAAGCAGGTACAGATTTTTCTCTAATAGTCACTGCAGGAACCTGGGAGAGATCCAGGTGTGACCTCACAGAATTGGGGTTCGAGCTGATGAATGGTCCTCTGTAGTTTTTGCCTTTCAGACTTGTCTACAGTGAGCCTCTAGCAACTTGTCAATTATAGTTTAGATTCGCCTATGGTTCCCATGGAGGTTTCTGCTCATAGGTTTCTATTCTGATAAGTTATAATTCTCTCTATTCACCTTTTTAGCTCTCCAAATCTGCAGGGGCAGTGGTTTGCCTTTAAACCTCACTTCTTTTAGAGATCTGAGAAGAGTTGTTAATTTTTCACTTTGCTCAGCTTTTTACTTGTTAGAATGGAATGACAACTTCCAAGCTTCTTACATACCAGATGAGAAACTAGAAACCACTATTTTTAAAAAAAAAAATTCAAAAATCCATCAACTGAATAAAGTGTTGTATATCCATACAAAGTAATAATATTTAGCAATAAAAAGGAATGGAGTACTGATACATGCTACAACATCAATAAACCTCAAAGATGCTAAGCATGAGAAGCCAGACGCAGAAGAATACACATTGCATGATTCCATTTATATGAAATATTCAGAAAAGACAAATCTCTGGAGACAGAAAGTGAATTAGTGGTTTCCTGGGGCTTGAGGTGAAATGATGACTGACCAGAAATTGTCACGAGGGATCTTACCAGATGACGGAAAAGTTCTAAAACTAGATAGTGGTGATGGTTATATGATTCATTAATTTACTAAAAAATTGTCACCTCAATAAAGTTAATTTTTAATAAGGATAAAGATTTATTTGGAAAATGTAAAAAAGCTTTAAAATAAAAGAAGCGATGTCTCCTTGTATTCTTAATGGCAGTAACTTCAATTCCACATCCTACCCGTTTTCTTTATTGAGTCGAAGCATCACTGAATTCCTGCAAAAACCTTCATTGTTCATTTGAAAAATATCATATTTCCCATATCATTACATTTTTGCTGTTGTATGGATATGCTACAGTTTTCTTTCTTTCTTTCTTTTTTGATTGGACAATTCTAGATCTCCTTCTCCATACTTAACCTATGTGCCCACTTTTGGAGTGAGTTTCTAGAAATCAAACAATTGATTCAAAGACATGAACTTTTTTTTGGTACCGGGGATTGAACTCAGGACCTTACTCTTGCAAGGCAGGTGTGGCACCACTGAGCTAAATCCCCAGACCAGACATGAACTTTTTTAATGCTTTTGATGCCTTTCTAGTGGCTGTTAACAAAAAACAGGGTTATAGGGCCTCTTTCCACCAACAGTTGAGAGAGTGTCTGTTTCTCAACACCTTCATCAAAGTTGGGTGTGATAATTCGTTTTATATTCTTGCCAATTATAGGAGAAAAATAGTACTTCATTGTTGATTTAAATTGAGTTTAATTATTAGGGAAGTCCCACATACTTTCATTCATTAATAGCTTGTTTGTTATTATTTTATTTTGTGAAATGTCTATCCTTTTCCTTTGCCCATTTTTCTCCTGGAGTGCTTGTCTTTTTCTTGAGTTTAAGTATTTTTATAAAACAAAAACATCAACCTTTTACTGCTGTGTATGTTACAAATGCTTTTTTCAAGACTACTGTTTGGCATTTAATGTTCTCTGTGGTCGTTTGGATGTGTAGAAGTTTAATGTTATTCTTATGGAGGTAATGGTCTTTGTCCCACAACTCCTGACTTTGCTGAGGTCCTTAGAAAGGCCTCTTCCACCCCAATATTGTACCATACTCACCTCTATTTTCTCTTGTATAGTTTTATAGTGTTCTCTTTTCCCTTCTCTTGTTTTCTTGCTATTTAACCTGCATTTCATCTGGAATTTATTTTAATGCATGGATTAAGATTGGAGTCTAACTTAAATTTCACCCAAATAATTGAACAATTATCAGAGCACAATTAATGAATTCATCCCTTCCCTATTGATAGAAAATGCCCATCTTTATTATGTTTTAAGTACTTATCTCTAGTCGAGTCTCTCTCAAAGGAGCTTTGCCTCATTCTGCTGATCTGTATTTTCACATACTTTTACAATGTGGCTTTAATTATTTTTGTTTAATGATGTGTTTTAAAATCTGGCAATACAAATCACCTTTCATCATTCTTTTATAGACATATTTTGGTCATTATCTTGTTTTGTGCTCCAGATACATTTTAGAGTCATTTTGTCAAGTAAAAGAAAAATCCTTCCACGATTCTGATTGGAATTGAATTAAACTAAAAAATTAATTTGTAGAAAATTGACATGTGACCCATGCATACTACGCAGGAATACATGTCTCCTCATTTAAGTATGTGTTTGTATCTCTCACTTAAGCTGTTTCTATTTGTCTTTGTCATTTTAAAGAAACTGGAATTGCACACTGCGTATTTGGTTTATTGTTTGCTATTTAATTTTTTGCTGATATTATAAAGGAAATCCATTTTCTATTATGTTTTAGTACTGGTTGTCACTGATACAAAGAAATACTATTAATTTGTGCTACCCAGTCACTTCCCTTAACTCTCCTACTAGCTTTTACTTGTTCTCATGGCTAGGGATTCTTTTAAGGGCTTTTCAGGGGAAATATTTATATTTGCAAATAAGGATTATTCTTTTCCAAAAGTCATGCCTCTAAAAACATTTTCTATCTTGTTTGGTTTGTTAGGGATACAGTGTGAATCTTTACCGACACTTTTTTTCCTTTAACAAGAATGCATCTAATGTTTCACTGGACATAAGTTATTGTGATATTAAAAGCAGATGTGAACTAAAGGTACTTCAAGGAAGTATCTTTTCTGGTGCTGTTTTATTAAACATTCTTAATAGCAGTAGATATTGGATTTTATGAAATGCCTTCCTCTATTTTGTGAGTTTATCTTTTTTTCCTCTCCTTTGAACTATTGATGTAGTAGAATGATATTCACAGATTTCTTCATATTGAACCAGTGTTGTTACTTTCCTAGAATAAAATTCTGTGTGGTCATGGTACATTATCCTTGTAATATGGTAGATTCTACTTGCCAGAAATCTATTGAGAATTTTCACAGCAGTATTAATAAGTTGGTAATCTTATTTTGGCCCTGTCAGGTTCTGTTATCAGGAATTTGTTACTTGGATGAAATGAACTAGAAGGATTTTCATATTTCTAATGCCCCTGCATAACTTCTATATATGGCAATTATCTATGATATTATTGAACTTGGCGTGGGGGGTGCTTGCTTGTCCATGAGACCTGAGTCAAGCATTGCAGGATCCCTATCTCTCCTCCCTACCACAACAGTCTTACCCATCTCCCACAGGAGGAATCTTTGAGTATGCAGATGGCCCCAATGCCCAGGTCATGAATGCCGAGGAACATGCCTTTCGATTTTCTGCCAACATCATCAACAGGAACAGGACCCTGCTGCCCAACACAACCTTGACTTATGACATCCAGAGGATTCACTTCCATGACAGCTTTGAGGCAACCAAGAAGGGTGAGTGTGCAACTCCTACCTCTTGTCTTCCCCGGGTGGGACTGCGTTTCCTGTCCAATCCCAGAGCTCTGGGTGGGTTTGGGGCTGGAACCTTTTCCACTTGGTCTGGGAACCTGTCTCAGTCCCAGCTCAACTCAGACTGTGTCAGTTCCCAAGACCAGGAGCAGGGTGTCCATCAGGAACTGCCAGGCCACCGTATGGGGCAGGAGGGAGTAGAGGCTGTGAAGGGTGGCTGGTGAGGGGATCAGAGGCCATGAGAGGCAGGGAGGGCATGGAGATCTGAGACTGGCTGCCAGATGGAGGCTCCCCAGGTCTCCAGCACCTCTGAACCCAGTCAGACATTTTCAACCTTCCTTTCTTCTTTTTTAAGATTTTGTATTATTTTTAACTGACGAATAATGCTTGTAGATATTTATGGGGTATGATGTGATGTTTTGCTACATGTATACATTGTGGAATGATCGAATCAGAAGAATTAGCATATCCATCACTTCAAGAATTTATCATTTCTTTCTGGTGAGAACATTTAAAATCCTTTTTTCTATTTTAAAACATGCATTATTATTAATTACAATCATCTTTTTAAAATTATAATCATCTTGCTCTGAAAGCTTGTTTTGTCTTCCATTGAAATCCCACCCAAAATAATCAATATGTACAATACATATAAAGCAGATAATGTGTAAGTTCAAATGTACAACATCTATTTGCCATAAAAAGACTTGCTAAAAACAACAAAGCTGATTTTGTGCCTATACCAATTCTACCCCAGATGCTATGAAGACCCTTGAAGTCTGACATTGGCCTCAATATTGGGTACATTTTTGTTTTGTTTTGGCTGCAAAGTAACAAGAAAATCATAATTCATAAAAATAAATTGTAGTAAATCCAGTTAAACAGTTTTCCCACATCTGAATTTTTAAAAAATGAAATAAAAACAAATGTGGCTCATATTTAGTAGGCATATTTAAAATCAAAATTAACTCAAGCTTTGGTGACTTGAGGTCTTCAAACACACACAAAAAAGATAACTTGTTAATATCTGAATGGGCTAGAAGTTTCCAGTGTGGTATATAACACTCTAGAGTATATAAGTGTGCTTCTTTTTTAAAGAATAGTTCACACACACACACACACACACACACACACACACAGAGTCAGCCCTCACCCTGTCCATGGGATCCACATCTGTGGATTCAACCAAACACAGATCAAAACAATTCAGGAAAAATAATCACCTCTGTACTGAACATGTGCAGTTTTTCCTCATCATTTTTTCCTAAACAATATAGCATAACACCTATTTACATAATGTTTATATTGTATTAACTATTGTAAGTACAGTAATACAGGGCCAGGGATTTAGCTCAGTGGTGCTGCCACCTGCCTCACAAGCGCAAGGGCCTGAGTTCAATCCCTGGCACCAAAAAAAAAAAAAAAAGTACAGTAATACAAAGCTGACTTAAAGTCAATGGAAGAGTGTGTGCAAGATACATCCAAATATTCCACCATTTCATGTGAGGGACTTGAGCATCTGCTGATTTTGATATCCAAGGAGGGTCCTAGAACAAATCCCCTGCAGATGCCAAGGGAGACAGCATATCTGTACTGTATTTTTTCATATACATTTGATTCTAATTTAACTTTAAGTCTTAGATAACTCTGGAAATAGCTTCCACAGAACCCTAGATTTCCATGTACCTCTGTTTGAATGTCTTGAGCTTAAGGAATCTCATTCTCCAGGTAACTAGGTCATCCTTCCTATAATGTAATATCATATCCCCTTGCTTTTCCCCTTCAAAACCCTTATCACAATTTTTAGTTGAATAATTGCATATTTAATGTCTTTTCTGCTCTGTCCAACAACACCAAAGAGAGGGCTCTCTCTTGGTAATTGATATAGTCCCGTGGCACCCAGCAGATGGGCAGATGATAATTGCTCAATGAAATGATTGCTGAATGAGGCAACAAATGGATAGTGTACGTTTAGGATGTGGGAGCCTGAGCACCACTGGCTGGTACCATTGTTGGCTAAGTCAAGGGGAGAGTGTCATTGTGAATCCTGGGCAGACTGAGACCCACCCACAGATCTGTCTTTCTTAAGGGTTCCCAGTTTATAATTAAGAACAACTTTTTCCCAGGCTGGGACCCTTGATCTCTTAGATTCTCAGCTGCAGACCTCTCAAGGTGCTACCTACAGCTGTTTCTGTTTTCCATGGCCCCATCGCAGGTAAGCATCTCAGCATAGAAAGGCAACATAACACAGCCTGGGAGCTATCCGTGACCTTTGACAAAATACCCCATGCCTTAGTTTCCTTGGCTATGAAATGGGTGCACCTCTGTAAATGTATAGTGGCTGGCACCATAGTCAGTATTATGTAGGACTTTGGTCTTGTTACACTGGGCTCCTTTACTCTCCACTTGCCAAACCACCAAGTCAAGACCTGCCTCCCACCGACCTGCACATAGAGGATCAGAGGGTTTCTGGAGTTGAGAACAATGACTGCCGACACGTTTGAATCACAGAGTCAGCTGACAGCCAGACAGAGAACACCCTGATTTAGCTGAAGAGTTCCTTTACCCGGCAGCAGCCCTCTCCCTGCTCCAGCAACCACCCCACTCCACCCCGCCTGTGTCCTCCTGCTCTCTTCTTGGCATGCCCTGTGGCCAGCGCTGCACAGAGAAGTATCCATCTTCCTGCTAAGCACCCATGCGAACACTCTGCCCAGTCTTGTCCACCTACAAAATGACTAAACCAAAACTGCTTAATAAAAAGGTCAGGAAACAGAACAAATGCGTGGAGCCAGAACACAGAGCTCCATGTGGGCACAAGACCAAGGGAATCTCATTCCCTTGCACCTGCATCACTATATATATATATATATATATATATCAAACTAGGAGATAGATAAATAAGAAGAAGTAGGGAGAGGTTCAAATAATTCCCCAAATTACCAATTTCACTGTTTCAAAAATATTTTAAAGTACAGTATTTGCTAATTTGTTTCATTTACACTACTAGTTTCTCTTAGTTATTGAAAAGAAAGTTTTGTGCTATTATCTATTCATTTCTTCTTTGTATGAGAGAACCTTTTTTGTTCATGTCTTATACTCTGAGTAACTACTTTCAAGATTATGATACACAATATATTAACTACTGTTATTCTCTTATTATTTTGTTATGAAAATTTGTTTTATTTTTTCATAAAATCAAAAGAGAAAATGGTAAAAAGAAAAAAAAGAGAGAGAGAAAGAAAGAAAAAGAAAATAGAGTGGAAAACACAAGTTATTTGAAAAAGCCAATTCATATACTTGGGAAATTTAATATATGTGCATCCTGAGCTCCCACTATGTGCCAAGTATTGGGAACCCTAAGGAGACAAAGCCAGCCCCTTGTATCACAGAACTTACATCTAGTGTGGCTGACATGACAGGTGCTAGACTGAGGGACAGGCGATAGTGGAGGAAAGAGAGGCTGGAGCCTCAGCTTGGCCAGGGAGCATTTGTTTATGAAGAAGAAAAACTTAATCAAGCCAGACCCAAACAAAAACATAACTATCACTCAAATCAAGCTGTAGACCACGCAAGCCTTTCAGAAGCCCCTCTGTAGCCCTCCACACGGTCGCCTCTGGAAGGCCACCATTGTTCTCCTGCTGCTGCCATACCCTGATTTGCCCTGATGAATTTCATGTAGGTTAGAATCATCCAATGTCTCCTTTTCTCCAGCCTGGCTTCTTAGGCGCTGCAGTGTCCTCATGAGAGTCCTCTGTGCTGTTGAATGCAGGGGTAGTCCACTGTTCTCCAAAATGCATTTTACTTTTGTTGCACCTTTGAGCTGTTTCCATTTGGGGCTAATACTGCTATGAAGATACTGGTAGATGCACAGATATACTCCCCTTTGTTGGGCATCCTGAGGAGTGGAGGTTTGGGCTCATAGAATGTGCCTGCGTTAAGCCAGGTTTTCAAAGTCATTGTACCAATTTGCACTTTCACCAGAAGGGTATGAGACTTTAGCTGCTTTCCATCTTCACTAACCCTTAGTGAAGTCAGTTTTATTTTTACATTTGGGCTATTCTGGTGTTTTATGTAGTGGTTATCTCATTGTGGTTTCATTTTGTATTTCCCTGATGATCAGAAGTTGAATATATTTTCTTATGCTGGTAGGTCATTTGAAGATTCTCTTGGTATCCTTTTTATTTTTTGGAGAGATATAGAATATATTCATTGCAGTATTCTTAGTAATATCTTCTGAGGAGCAAAGTTCTTAAAGAAGTCCAATTAATATTTTCCATTGTGGTGCTTTGTGTTCTGCTTGAGAAGTCTCTGTCTATCCTGAGCTCATAAACATATTCTCCTCTGTTCTTGTCTAGAAGCGCTATTATGTTATTTTTCATAGTTAGCTCTATGACCTAACTCAAACTGATTTTCTGAGTATTGTGGGAGATGGGGGTTGAGGTCTATTTTTTCTACATAACGCTGGTGAAAGTGAAAATTTCAACTTCTCTGAAAAATTGTTTGGCAGTATCTGCTAAATCTTTTGCCTACGAGAATGTTCCTAGCCACTTCAATGGTAATAACCAAAAGTTGGGAATAAATTAGAAGCCCATCCCTAGGAGAATGGATAGATTGAGGGAATAGTTATATAATGGAATTTTAATCAGCAACAAAACAAAACAAACTCCTGCTATACACCATATCATAGATGAACCTTAGATGTAATGTTAGGTGAAAAGAGGGTACTTTAGGGGAGAGAGTAGTGTGAAGTGGGTAGTGGCTGGAAAGGATCAAGAAAGCCTTGTTGGGTGTTAGAAACATGCTACAGCTTGGTCTAGGAAGTACAGGGCCCATGAATGCATGATATATGAGGGCAGTTATATGTGAAAATTTACCCATTATTTGCTTAAAACTAATTCACTTTACTATGTTGTAAATTGAATAAACAGTGATAGATAACATCCCATAAGAGAAACTCTGACCCAAGAGGCATTTCTGCTATTGGA